CCCCCCCTCTAAAATCAATTCTCTCCTGGAGATCGTCTTCGTGAGCCTCTCATGATTTCAGGATAGTTGAAACCCTCTTGAACATTCAGAAAGAGTGAATATGAAATTCTAATCACGAAAGGTGTTCCCCGAGGGGATACATACCTAGAGTTTGTTTTGTGAAGCACGTCAATTCTCTCCTGGGGAGCGTCTTCGTGAGCCTCTTCTGGTTTCAGGATAGTTCAAATCCTATGATGTTCCGATTCAATGCTCACCGATGATCTGAGCCATGTCTTTTTGAACATTTCGAGAGCACATGTTTGAACATTTAAAGTGCATATGAACATATATGTACGAAAGGTCGCCTCCGAGGGGATAAATCACCATGTCGAACATTGCATTTTTGTTCCTGCCTCTCGCGTTCTCTTCTCTTTCCGCTGTCTTACCTTTCGTGTCTCCCTCCTCTCAAGTGTGTTATAGACAAATTCTTCCTGACTCGCTCAGTTGAGCGCGCTCAATCTGTAGAATAGCAGGGATTTGAGCACTCTTGAACTTGATGGATGGTCCCGATCAACAGTTCAGATAGCAGCCAGTCTACCCATCCTATCTGACGGCGAGCCACCAAAAGTATCCTGCTCCCACCTTCGACTGCCACGTCTCAAGTAGTTGTGGAGAGTGTGCCAGCTTTCAACTGGCGAAATAGAAAAGCATTGCCCGCACCTTCCATGGGCCCTGGAGAATAGCAGCAACATTGCAGGTCTTTGCTGCTTCCAGTTCTACTCCTTCGGCGCCTTACCGTTTCATTGCTTACTCCACGGATAGCATAGGGCTGAGCATTTGAGACGGTCACCAGCATTTGCGCTTTGATCCGCTTTGCGATTTTTGTTTTTGCTTTAGGCATTTGATTTTCTTTGGCTTTATCCTTTCATCCCTGATCCACACGAGCACGAAGAAGCGTAGGCAGTATAGGCTCACGAAGCATTGGGCAGACAAGTCGCCCTCAGGTCTTGCAGCTTGCAGGCGTCCCAGTGGTCCAGTGTTCCAGCATGTTCCAGCTGCTTTGCCTTTGGTTTGATGAAGCCCACAAAACAGTGTGATAGAATTTCAGCCGCTTTTGAGCATGTGTGTGTGTGAGCAAAAGATGAGAGAACGATTCGTTGGTCGTGGTGGTCGAAACACGTTCTCAAACTATTTCCACTATTTTCTATATCCTGCAACCTGTGGCCAAGGTGCATCCATTAGGAGCAGCTTCCCATGGCATTGTGGCCTTGGGCACGCTGCTTCTGATGCTATGCTCGTGCCTCCCCTTTTGCCCCTTTTGCCCCTTTCCCTTGGAACCTTTGCGGCAGAGTTTCAGAATGCTATGCCGTGGCTTTTATGATGACCAGCACCACCGCAGCTTATCCAGGTCAAGACTTAAGATGCACTAGAACCAATTCAGAGACACTGCAAGCATTGCAGCTCCACAGGCGGGATGCTTCCCTCCAATTTCTCAAGGCCCAAGAAAGAAGGAATTAACTAGTAGCAAGGACGCTACTAGGTCGAGCACATGGCATGCCATGGCGGATATGGCTATAAGGTTGGAGGCCATCGGTACTAGGAACAAGGACGCAACAAAAAGGGCTCTGTGCGGCTCTTCCTGACCAAGTCGGAAGGGCGGCGACGGCAGCCCAGGAGCGGCGACGGCGGAGAGCGGCTGGTTTCGGGACTCGTAGAGCGAGCCCACTTGGTGGCACGAAGGTAAGTAAGATAAGAACCCCGAGTGAGGAGGCCACTGCAATGCTTTGTGATGCTGTGAGAAGATGAGAAGGGATTGATGCAACATCCATCCAACATCATGATGCCATCCAACACGTAATACATCCAGATCTTGTTTCAATTGGATGTCGGCAACATCTTGCAGCATGATTGGAATTGCGTTATTTTGTTCACTGTGGTCTTTCAGTTAAGGCTCAGCCGTACAACCTCTTGATTCACCGCTTTTTCCAAGACTTGTTGCCACCATGACACCACGCGCAGACAAGAAGCTCCGATTCATTAAGGAGTTTATTGTAACTGACCAGGAATTTACATGAGCAGCTTCCCATTCCTACTCGTAGCTGTTAACGCTCCTCAAGCCTGATTGAACTACATGTTGCATTCGAAGGCTCCATGGACTGTGCAGAGAGGCGCCAGCGAGGCGTGAGGCCAAAGATGTCTGGAGCTTGGTGAGGGGGTTTTCTATTTTATCATCCTTTTTCTTTAGATAAAGAGATGTAAAGAGTAGTACAGGGCCTAGGGTAGTCACATATGTCAAGGAATCAACCCACACAACCCACAGAGCAAGCACAGAAGTAGTGTTCTTTCATGTTCTTTCCTAGCATCCTTTGCCCTTTGACGATGCTGTTTGAAGAAACAATACTTTACTCTTTTTCATGACATTTTTCGACATTTGAGGCCAGCCTATGAGGAGACGCCTTTGTGCTCCGTTGGAAAGGTTGTCCGCGTGCAAGCCTCATTGTGTGTGTGTGTGTGACATTCACGACGTGTATTGGCTTATGGTTAGCGCATGGACGCGTGGGGTAAAGTAGTGTAAATAGTAATGGCTGACCGGAACCATCTTAGTGAACAGCAATGGCCTCCAACTTAAAAGCCATGGCCTCCAACCTAAAAGCATGGCCTCCAACTCCAACCTAGAAGCGATGGCCTCCTACCTAGAAGCGATGGCCTCCAAGCTAGAACGATGGCCTCCAACGTAAAAGCCATGGCCTCCAACCTAGAAGCGATGGCCTCCAACCTAGAAGCGATGGCCTCCAAGCTAGAAGCGATGGCCTCCAAGCTAGAAGCGATGGCCTCCAAGCTACTAACGATG